GACCCCCCCTTATGATGACGACCACGGCAAATGTTTAAAGGACTACGATTTGAGGGCATGCACCTGGAATGTCCGGACCCTTAATGGGGAAGGTGCCTCTGCCCGGCTGGTTGATGTCCTCGTAAGGACAAAAGCTGACATCACCGCCATCCAAGAAATGCGTTGGACGGGGCAAGGCAAACAATGTCTGGGGCCTTGCGACGTCTACTACAGCTGCCATCTAAAGAAGCGCAAATTCGGACTTGGATTTGTGGTGGGAGAGACACTCCGTCGCCGAGTACTGTCGTTCACCCCGGTGGACGAGCGTCTAGCCACAATCCGCATCAAAGCGAGATTCTTCAACATCTCGCTCATCTGCGCCCATGCCCCGACGGAAGAGAAGGATGAGGCATCCAAGGATCTCTTCTATGAGCGCTTGGAGCGCACGTACGAGCGCTGCCCCCGTCATGATATCAAAATCGTGCTTGGCGACTTCAATGCCAGGGTGGGCAAAGAAGGGATCTTTGGAACCACCGTCGGAAAATTCAGCCTCCACGACGAAACGTCCGACAACGGATTGAGGCTGATCGACTTCGCCGGGGCCCGAAACATGGTAGTATGCAGTACTAGGTTCAAGCATAAAAAGATCCATCAAGCTACCTGGCTGTCTCCGGATCGAAAAACGAGAAACCAAATCGATCATGTTGTGATAGACGGAAGGCACGCTTCCAGTGTTTTAGACGTACGCACACTCCGAGGCCCAAACATCGACTCGGACCACTATCTTGTTGCAGCCAAGATACGCCCCCGCCTCTGTGCAGCAAAAAATGTGCGCCCAAATATGCAAGGAAAGCTTAACGTCGAAAAGCTGCAATCACAACAGACAGCCAGCGCTTTCGCTACTCGACTCTCACACCTGCTCTCAGAGAGCACTCTTCAACAAACCGACATATGCGAGCAGTGGAACCACATTTCCCGCTCATTAAGTACCGCCGCCGAAGAAGTAGTCGGATTTCAGCGAGCCCGAAAGAACAACTGGTACGATGAGGAGTGTCAGGAAGCTGCAGAGAAAAAAGATGCCGCCTACAGGGCCACGCTGCGATCGGGCGCAACGCGCGCTATGTGGGACCGCTATAGGGATCTGAAGAGGGAAGCGAGACGTATTTGCCGCAACAAGAAGAGAGAGGCAGAAATACGTGAGTGCGAAGAGCTTGAAATGCTGGCCGACAGGAGGAATGCCCGAAAATTTTACCAGAGAGTTAGGCGACTTACGGAAGGTTTAAAGACCGGGGCGCACTCCTGTAAGAACAATAATGGCGACCTAGTAACTGATGTCCAGAGCGTACTTAAATTATGGAGGGAACACTTTTCCGCCCTACTAAATGGTAGCAGCACGGAAAGTTGTGGAGAAGAAGAACCCGAGCCCGCAGTCGATGATGACGGAGTCGACGTTCCACCGCCTGGCTATGACGAGGTACGTATAGCAATAACGCGGCTGAAAAACAACAAAGCCGCTGGAGCTGACAGCCTGCCAGCTGAGCTATTCAAGTACGGCGGCGAGGAGTTGATAAGGTGCATGCATCAACTCTTGTGCAGAATATGGTCAGATGAACGCATGCCCGACGACTGGAATTTAAGTGTGCTCTGCCCAATCCACAAGAAAGGTGACCCCGCCATTCGCGCCAACTACCGCGGGATCAGCCTTCTAAGCATAGGTTACAAGGTCTTATCGAGCGTATTGTGTGAAAGACTGAAGCCCACCGTCAATGAACTGATTGGGCCTTATCAGTGTGGCTTTAGACCTGGCAAATCCACCATAGACCAGGTATTCACAATACGCCAAATCTTGGAAAAGACCCGCGAGAAAAGGATCGACACTCACCACCTATTTGTCGACTTTAAAGCCGCTTTTGACAGCACTAAAAGGAGTTGCCTATACGCCGCTATGTCTGAATTTGGCATCCCCTCAAAACTCATACGGCTGTGTAAAATGACGTTGAGCAATACCACCAGCTCCGTCAGAATTGGAAAAGACCTCTCCGAGCCGTTCGCCACAAAACGGGGTTTCAGACAGGGCGACTCCCTTTCATGTGACTTCTTTAATCTGATGTTGGAGAAGATAATAAGAGCTGCAGAACTGAACCGCTCAGGAACAATTTACTACAAGAGCGTGCAATTGCTGGCTTATGCCGATGACATCGACATCATCGGTAACAAAAACCGCGAAGTCTGTTCTGCCTTTTCCAAGTTGGATAGGGAAGCAAAGCGCATGGGTCTGGTGGTAAACGAGGACAAGACGAAGTATCTCCTGTCATCAAACAAACAGTCAGCACATTCGCGCCTTGGCACCCACGTCACTGTTGACAGTTACAATTTCGAGAAAGTAGAGAATTTCGTTTACTTGGGAACCAGCATTAACACCGATAATAATGTCAGCATTGAAATCCAACGTAGAATCACTCTTGCCAACAAGTGCTACTTTGGACTGAGTAGGCAATTCAGGAGTAAAGTCCTCTCTCGACGTACGAAAACCACGCTCTATAAGTCACTCATCATGCCCGTGCTGGTATATGGCGCAGAAGCATGGACAATGACAACATCCGATGAGGCGGCTCTTGGGGTGTTTGAGAGAAAGATTTTGCGGAAGATTTACGGGCCTTTACGCGTTGGCGACGACGAGTACCGCAGACGATGGAACGATGAGCTGTATGAGCTTTACAACGATATGGACATAGTGCAGCGAATTAAAATACAGCGGCTCCGCTGGCTTGGTCATGTCGTTCGAATGGACACCGACGCTCCAGCTCTGAAAGTATTCAACTCGGAACCCGCTGGTGGTAGCAGAGGAAGAGGGAGGCCCCCACTGCGATGGAAAGATCAGGTGGAGAAGGACTTGGCTTCACTTGGCGTTTCCAATTGGCGTCAGTTGGCACAGAGGAGAAACGACTGGCGTGCTTTGCTGAACTCGGCCAAAATCGCTTAGGCGGTTACAGCGCCAAAAAAGAAGAAGAAGAAGAAGTTATCAACACAACAAAACTGTCCAATCCGCGACCATCATCTAAACCGAAATTCCCTGCAAATCAGGGGAATTTCCCTCGAGTTGATTTGTACGCTTTGTATGTCGCTTTCTAATTCTTATAGAAATTTTTATTTTTTTAATATTTTTATTGCGCTTTTTACGACGCATGTTTA